CAGTGTCAATAGTCGGCTCACGCAGCGTCTTGCGGGCCATGCGAAGGAACTTGACGAGATCCTCGTCCTTGCCTGCGTGAGTTGCAGTTTCAATCACTTCGTGGTAGTTGGTCGCGTCACCTGCACGGATGTAGGACTCAATTGAGTCAGTCACACGAAGACCATCGAGTTGGGCCTTTGCAACCTTGCTCCAAACCTCGGACAGATCGACACGCTCCGCGAATTCTTGGGCTCGGTCGATGCTGACAATGTTCTCCACAAGCACGTTGACGGCAGCCAGGTAGTTGTTAACCTTCTTGTAGATTTCAAAGGCCTCCTCGTACAGGCCAACGCTGGTGCACATCTCAGCAATTTCATCAGCGGAGAATTCGTTGAGCTGGTGAATGTAGTCCATCAGGCGACTCTTATCGGCCTTGGCAGCAGTCAACATCAAGAGGTTCTGCAGGCTGGTGTTATCACTGAAAGGAGAGGGCTCTAGAATAATCTTCTCAAGCAGCTCAATCAACTCGCCGGGCAGATCGGCATCGAGGAACGACTTGACGGCGACAGACACCTTCTCGGGTTCCGTAGATTCGGGGACCGCGGTAGCGATGACCTGGTCCACAAGAGAACGCCGGCCTTCGTTGTTCTCGCTGAGGACGAAGGCCCAGATTTCGGAATCGGCACGCTCAACGAGGTAACGAGCTTGGGCGCGGAACATAGAGTTCTCATTGGTGATGCTAATAAGCTCCAGATCGTTCTGGCCCTTGCTGTAGGCAATATACGCCAGGTTGGGATCACGCTTTTCGCAGTACTTTCCAACAACGAGGGTGTCGTACTGGTCATTCTCCTTGAGGAACTTCTCTGGGTCGTTGTTACTGTCAATGTAGATCTTGGCAAGTGCGTTGTAGACAGCCTGCTGCTGGTTACCCGTGGCCAGAGTGGCCTCGAGGAAAGGCAAAAGCAGCTTAAGGCGGTTTCGGCTCTCGACCTCAGTAACAAGCTCATCGATAGGGATGACGGATGGGTCAACAGTTGAGAGCAGATTCTTGATGATGCTCTCCTCACAGTCGACATCGAGCAAGCCGCCAACAACAGCAGGGGCACGGCCAGGGTTGACGCGCTGGACATAGACTTCGATCGACTTGAACTGTTGGTTCTGGTAGAGGTACAGAACCAGATCGTGGATAAAGTTGAAGCGGTCACAAACGATGATCAGAGGTAGCTGCTCTGTCAGGCGGGCTTCCTTCAGGAAGTTCTTCACTTTCTCGGGATTGTAGTAGTTGCTCTCCCGGCAAATACGCTCAACCTCGGTGACCTGGTTCATGGCAGTGGCGGCCTCAATGTACTTGAAGTGTACCTCAGGGTCCTCGCTGAGGTTAACAATACTTCCTAGGTAGTAGTAAAGACCCTCGGCAGTGCGGTATTTCTCGAAAATATCAATCAGACGATTAGACCCAAGAAGGTCAGAGAACTTGGTGGCAATCTGGACCACAGACTGCAAGTTCTGGCGAATGTTCGACTCCAGCATGGTGTCCATGCAGTCGAGAGTCTGCTCCACAGATAAGCGACCGAAGTAGCTCATCAGCCACTCGGGGCTCAACTTGTCGGTGCGAACAATGTTGCGTTTTATTACAGATGGATCATCCGAGTTTTCCAGAGCACGCTGGATGAGGCCGGCGTTCTCGCAGAGCTGGGCAATGCGAGGACGGTCAAAGTGGGTGAAAATTTCGTTGCCGAGAATGGCGTCTGCAACCTGGGGAGCGTTGACGAGGTTCATCTCCAGAAGACGAGTTTGCAGGCTGCCATGCTCAGGCTTGTTGTCCTTGAGCGCATCCAGGAGGAACGAAGTGGCCTGCTGGATCATGTTTTGTGACAAGAAGACGTCCACAACGCGGTCAAGGTCAACCAATGCGCCGCTTTCTTCATTAGCAAGCTGAGTAGCAAACTCAGCACCCTTCTCGGGGTTGACGCGAACAATATGCTGAAGCAGCTGGGTGTAGTCCGGCTGGTATCCAGCTTGTTTGGAGTATGCAAGGATCTTATCGAACTGGCCAGTCTCCGCGAAACCAGCAACGACCTTGTGGGGAACGTTAGCTTGAAGATAAACGGCCAGGGCAAGGGACATGTCGTATGGCCGAATGATGTCACCAAGCTCCTCCGAGCTCTCCAGCTTCTTCTCCTGCATCCACTTCTCAAGCAGGTGCTTGCGATTTTGCTGCAGAACGGGTCGGACAAGCTCAACACTTTCGTACTTGTTAAGCGAGCCCTTGTCCAGCAGCATACCGAAGTACTGTAAGATCACTGACATCTGACCATTTTGTGGAGCGCTCTTGAAACGGTTGATTGTTTCCAGAGTGCGAAGGAACCCCCGTGGAGAGTTGGCGGCAATCTTAGCGGCTTCGGTATAATCCTGCGAGGCCATAAGAGAGTCAAACTGCTGCTGGTACAGGTGGTCCGCGCCTGGAAGGCCGGCCTTCGAGGCAAGTTTGATAGCAAGACCGGACATGGCGGGGTTCTCCATGAGGTACTGGATGATATTGGTTTCGTCAACGCTTACGGCCAAGACCTGGCCCTTGCGGTTCACACCGACGAGGCCGGCTCCCTCGGAATCCGGAGTTGTGGTGAAGATCGTCTCGCTGGAGATGCGGTTCATGAAAATACAAGTGCCAGTCTCGAGATCATAAAGGTGGATGAAGCCGTATTTCGTCACGAGGTAGACCACATCGTACTTGCTGGACACCTGCATTGCGACAGGGAAGTCATTGACCGCCTCTTGCGGGAAATACACCTCGACGGCCTTCTTCTGGAAGCGAGGGTTGGGTTCTTGGTGGTCGATTTCAGCGATTTGCAGCTTGGCACCGGTTTGCGTACGAACCGCGAAAGTGAAGAGGCTGTGGGGTAGGGGGGAGCCCTCAACAGTAATGTTGGCGAAAGAGGCGGCGTGACCTTCGATGAACTGAGAGATCCCGCGCTCCTTTGAGTAAAGCTGCATCGATCCGACGACCCGCCCCTGCTGCTGGCTAATACCGACCACAACCATCCACTTCTCCTCTGTGTTGACGCGGTAGTTGATGATTTGACATCCCTGAAAGAACGCTCGCATATTAGCATACTAGGCTTCCATTGTTATATCCACGATGTAAATCACATACTGCAAGGTTGGGAAGTCGGTCGAACGCCTTGACAGGGTTCTGCTGTGTGGCATCATAAACATCCCAGTGGTAGACCGCTGAGTCCGTGACCAGACCGAGGGACCTTTCGCTGAACCACTTCCAGTAGACAATATCTTCATTCATATTTGCCGACTTCAGCTTTTGCCGCGCGCCAAGGTCGAAGATCTGAATGGTGCGGCCCTGCGCCTTCAAGGCGATGATGTTCTTGTTCCAATGCATGATCGCACTGTCGGCGTTGATCGGGCGTCGTAGAACTTCATTATTGTTCTTGAGGTCGATAATGATAACTTCTGGTTTACTATTATCATCCAGCTTTTGACGAACACAGACGTAGTGATCAGATTCTAGTGTCTAAAACGAACGAATATAAAGTTAGCCGGGCCTTGTCGCCCATGTTTTGAGGGACTGCCGCCTTGCGACAGCAGACAACTTACACATGAAGTGAAGCCAATTGATGTCGGCTGTAAATTTAAACGTTAGTCAAAGTCCTAGAATTTCCCAAAACATTGTGGCGCGCGGCCGGTGCATCCGTCTTAAAGCTGGAGCTCATCATGAAACATCGCCAGTAGTCATGGTTGGCTGTACATACCGCGATGCCGACAGAGGTCAACTGTTGAATTCAAGCACAGGTCAGTTCCAAAGCGTCAGTGGTTATGAGATAAAGAGAGTGGGGTGACTACGTACATTGACCAGCTCTGTGAACTTGATGGGGAGAGGTGCCATATTTACGTAGGCCGCAGTACGACCTAGTCCGCCGAATGAAACGCCACGCAAAGAAGGCTGAAGAATTGGAGTATGTGAAAGGGGGGTGGTAAAATGCGAATGTCACGAGGAAGAAAAAAAAGAAGAAGAAGAAGACGTATGAAGAGATGAGGGGGGGTTAGAGATCTGGTAGATGCGGAAGTGACCTCAGGAGGCCGCTGCTGTCGTTGCTGAGGTGTCGCTTATGGAAAATCACGTGATACGGGGGCCTACAAGATCGTCTCTTTCAGAAGCAGTGTTTGTAAATAGGAAAAATCTAGAAAGAGAGAGCAAAGTAAAATGTAGATGGCAAACTTCCTGGCATATCATTTGTCAGATTAACCTGAGAGAAGTACTGTCAATTCAAGTTCATACATCTTCCATCCAAATCGGAGGTATACCTGACCGCCCTCACGATGCTCCGATGTTTACTACAATTTTAGTTGCACGTAGGTGGCTCTTGCCATTTATCCTCTGCCCTGTTCTCTAGTTCTTCTTCGGTTCTTTTGTGACTTGTAAATCAAACACTTCTTCGTACTGCAACATTCAAACGTTTTGAATTACACCCAATTTCCGTGAATGTAAGCTAACAACGCCTGCAAGGATTATGGAACTGACCCTCACCCCGTGGACCCATGGACCCGTGGACCCTGAAAGCAAGGAATGTGCACGTTCATCCCGTTTTATGTGCCATTTGCAAGTAGCCTCTCGCGGCTAAAGTCTTCTGAACTCAGGAGGTTCCAGGATCGGGAATTGGAAATTGGCCCCTCAATCATATCCACTCTAGCGGAGCCTGCCATCCAACCATTACAATTGTTTCAAATGTTCGGACGTCATCGTGTAAGAAGCGCCTCGCCTAGATCTCTACGGTAACCTCTCAATTCATATGTTGTAGTCATTCAACCACTGGCCCCAGCTTCAGTGACTCCTCAATCTAGGACACACCCCTAGACCAAAGCAATGTAGCTGACTTCTAGCAGCCTCCTAGAGCCCGGAATTAAGATTTTCGATGGTTTTGGCCCTAAATTCACGTAAAATCTGAACCGGAGCCACTGGAATGCATACCGACCCATTTTGAATCAAATTTCTTAGCACAACCGATCAATGACCACGCATACAGCGCCACGTGGCTTGTGTCTTCTTGTTTGTGTCCACTGGGCCTGGGCCAAGACCAGAAGGATCTCTGGCCAAGGTCATCCCCACGTCAAGCCAGCCTTAAAAGTGTTTGTTGCGGAGTATTGCTTATATCCTGTTCTGGCATTGGAGGCACGGTGCTTCTAATTCCGTATCACATGCTTGGCGCCGTAGCGGAGTCGTATCTTACTCGACTGAAGCTCGGGGTATCCTGGGGTGCAACGGCTTTTATGTGCTGTTCCCATCATTAGAAAAATGCGGACTGGAGATGTGGATGTAGATCGCGGCGTGTAACTAGAAAACGGAGAGCGCAGATGTAAATGAATATACCAAAGATCCCTCGGTGGAATCTTACAAAGTCTACTATCGAATTTTCTGACCCGCCGTGTTAAAGAGTGACATGATCATTCTGTCAGTTAGCTTGCATTGCCTGCTTCTTCTGTCGTCTTGCCTTTTGTCAGCCTTGTTTTTACTTTTTGATATCTTTTCAAAATGGCCTCTTCCACCGAAAGGACAGATCCATTCTGGATGGTATATTAGTCACGGCATGTCAGTCCATCGGAGATCTCTCCATCTGAAAGCAGCCTGTCGAGGTCACCAATGAACCTGGAGAGTCATACGTAGAATGGCAATCGCCAGAGCGCATTAAGAACTCTTTCGATCTAATGGCGCAGCTTTCAGCTCGAGACTGGCTGTTGTTTTCTGTGGGGCTCACTGCCTGGCGTGCTGATGCATTTCACTTTCATGCCCTCTATATCAAAACAGTAAATCTAGCAAAGTACTACGACAGACCCAAGATAGATATTGCGATTACCACTACTTTGGCTCGATTGCTGAGAAGTGTAGGAACTGTGTTTTGGGACTCGCTAGTGACAGATATGGTCGTAAATAGCCTATGGTGCTCACTATGATCATTCTTGGTATCTAGCAAATTGCCACCGTCAGTAGTAAGACCTCCCAGTTCTTAGCTGTGCGAAGTCTCTGGTCTTTCATGGGTGGCTTTATGGAAATGCTATTTCGATGGCTTTGGAACATTGCCTGTGAATATTATCCTCCAAGGTTGAGTGACTTTTGTCAGTCATGTTGCGAAACAGTTTCAACGCGAGAGGTTTTATGGCTGGAATCCTTCAACTAGGGTATTAATTGGGCCATGTTTTTGCAGCATATATCAAAATTGGTATTGGCAGTGGAACAGAAACTTGGAAACCCGTATTCTTGATTGCAGGTAAGTCTAAACCCCATTGGATACAGCTTTCCCGACACTAACAATCTATCCTGTGTAGCCGGCAACTCAATTGTAGTTTGTCTCGTTCGCATCTGCTTCCCTGGGTCACAGTCCTTCATCGAAGCCAAGAAAAAGCCGACAAGCGAACAATGAACGCAGGTGAGTTTTGGCGTGAAATAACAGGCATGCTGGGGAAGGAGTGGAGTAGGTGCGTTTACTGTGTTGTTCTCGTGACCTGCGTGCGTTGTGATCGCTATTCCAGCTCCTAAAAGCATCATCTAATTTAGCCCACAATAATTCAATTTAGATTCTCACACATCCCAAGACTCGTACACTACATTCGTACTCACTGCGGAGGAGCTTGAAAATGACGGCGCTTCTCGGACTTCTATTCTAATAAAGACAGGAACCTATCTTGTATGTGGGCGGAACCATCATCGGCTATCTATCCCAATTCTAACAATCACCGTAAACTACGGAGAATCTACCTTCTGTGTGGGATTCCATATACAAAGTGCTTTGAGCGAAGTCATTATCATTATATCTCAACCATGGTAGCATTTAAGTAAGATATAAAAGCCAGCTTATGATACTTGATCCCTTAGGGCCAAAATTTTGTGTATGATGTAGTATCATAGGATTTTAGTAGGTATTCAATCTTCCCCTCGAATGTAGTATAAAATAGAATTTCTCATAGGAAAAGTTGACCTATGTAAATCATTGATTTGACTACATCCTTTAGATCAATTTCCCTTGCTAATATTCAACATTGTGGTCGTGATTTCAAGGTTTTGCTCAATATCCGGGCAGCGCACAAAATATACATCTATAGCTCAGGGATTATGGAAAGGCCGAGTGTTATATTTGATGGGAGGTTTATTCGACCAGTATTAGACCAAGTGCATCCAAATTCTCTTGTTGTAGAACCTGGGGTACAACGAACCAAATATGATAACGAAATTTTCATCAGACCAGTTTTCTACAATATAGATACACACACCTCTGGTCTTTGAATTTGCACAACAAAGAACGTTTTTAATTCTGCTCCGTTTCTATTTTATAGCTATCCCGTAGCTAAATAAGCCTCTTGTATTTCTATGAAAGCTTCATAATTTACATACTTTTTGATGCCGAAAGGGCTTCAGTCGCTACTACCTTCGGGAGGCGACTCTTCTGAGAAACGAGACAAGCTTATAAGAGGTGGTGATTGACAAGCAAAGCATTTTGTTTGATCAAAATTGGCCAACTCAGCTTTGATTCAATGATGGAGGGTTGCGTCGTCAATTGACGAATTTGCACCATGGAGAAAATTCCACCACTATGGCGGATTAGACGAAGCACAATTTACTACATATAGATCATATGCATCAAAGTGGCTCAGACGTCTCGTAAGTCATACCAATTCATCTGTCGAATACTCACCGATAACTCTGCAATATGGATAGAGCAGGGCCAGTTGAGGTAAGACTCCCAAGTGGAAACACTTGAGCTTTCTGGGCTGCATTTCCCAGAGCTCGCAATATTGTGCCTCGATTTCGGGTGAGTAATGGGCTAATTCGCACTGCAGTGCAGGCTGATATTCAAGGGACGACCCGGTATTTTGTGTAGAAGCGTGAGCTGTTCCCAAGTCGGAGTTGTCGTCAAATCAGAGGACCCTAAGAGCACTATACAGACTACGACCGGTTTACTTCTATGCCAGGCAAATGGCACCTACAAGGATAGGATAAGGACAGACAAGATAGGCCAGAACAAGGTAGCCAATCCACCACGAGAGCATCCTCGCTGGGAAAGGGACCGACTCTTTGACGAAGCCCACAAGGCATTCTCAAGCGAGTCTTAGCTAGACACTAGATCGAAACCCAGTGTCTGCCATCCAATTCAACAATGGTTATGCGGAAAACATCACCTCTCGTGAAGCCTCATTGTGAAAAGGGAAAAGCAGCAGTAAAAAGGGTAAAAATAAATTCATGTCTCTCCCACGCCTATCCTGGTTGCCGGAGTACAAATCAAGACCATGCTGGATGCAGAGATCAAAGGGGCCCGCTGACTGGCAGTGGGGTGCCCGTCCACAAATTTTGTTTCCTCGAGTACTCGGGATAATTTTTTGGTTCTTGTCGAGTACCTCATACTTCACAGGCCCTACCCAGCCATTATCTCTGTTCTGAGACTTAACGGATAATTCCATCGTACTTGGTCTTGTACCACTTCATGGTCTCGGCGGTGGTGATGCGGTGGTTGACACCAATCTTGGACTGGCAGCGGCGGCGCTTGGCAACACGGGCACCGGGGCGGTCCCTAGAAATTTTTAGTTAACATCAATGGTGGATTACCACAAAATGCAGCGTCCAGTGGCAAACTCACATGCAGACGAAGAAGTCCATGCCGTAAATACCAATGCCGGGATCATACTTGATACCGAGATCGATGTGCTCGCTGATACCGAAACCGAAGTTACCGGTCTCAGAGAAGTTGCGCTTGCGGAGCTCGTACTCCTTGACCTTGAGGCCACGCTCGAGGATCTCCTCGGCCTTAGCGCCGCGGATGGTGACGTGGACGGAGATCTTTTCGTTACGGCGGATACCGAAGGTGCGGACGGTGTAACGGGCCTTGCTGTAGACAGGGGTCTGACCGGACAGCTGCTCGAGAACCTTGGCGGCGCGAGTGAGTCTATCACCGGACTCTCCGACGGAGATGTTCAGGACCAACTTCGACAAGCGAAGGGATCGGCAGGGGTTCTCGGCCTTAGCAACTTGGGCGGACTGCATGGTGTTAGTTTCAAATTGTGGAAGGCGTATTTAGTTGTGGAACGAATGCTTGAGGGAAATTGAAGATTGGGTGCGCGCAAGCGGAAATCTCCAGGTTGTGGCCCAGATTAAATAGATTGAGATAGAACAATGTAGTTGATCTGGAATGTGTGTTTTAGATTGCAAGGAGCTGAACATACCATGACGGCGGTTGGGCGTGAAGTGGTTGTCGACTGAGGAGACAAGAGTGATCGCGGAAAAAGAGAAAGTGTGGACTGTGGGCTGCTGCACGTGACCAGAAAGCCCTGATCTTTGTTCACAACTAGGAAATGAGCCAAAATTTAGTGCTTAGTCATTGCGACTTTTGACCTCGGGACCCGCCTCCAGAACTGTTGCCTGAGGCATCAAGCGGCTTGGGACCAGCTGACTCATGTATTAGGTAATCCAGTATCAAGACCTGGCAGCACTTGACAAGCTTGAGCTTCACATCTTTGATAGGATCTCGCACCTTTGCTTCATCCGCCACAGTAGAAAGACTTTCTTTATCTACTGATCTCTATTCTTTTGTCTCTCAAGTCGCATCCGTGCGCGCTCTCTAGCCAACATGGCTTCCCACAAGATGGTAAGTTTCTCGTCCCCGAAACCCATGCAGTCAATGGCTGTCGCTAACTTCTTTCATCTAGCAAAACCTTGTGAGACTAGCTCAAATCAATTTTAGTTCTCGATTGGAATATCTAACTTCTTCTCCAGATTAACTACCGGATGCGCGTAACATTGAACGATGGACGTCAAATGACCGGTTCCATGCTTGCATTCGATAAGGTATTTCTCACTGCTTCAGAAACTGAGGCACTTGAACTGACAATTCTTCTCTCTAGCACATGAACTTAGTTCTTGCAGACACAGAAGAATTCCGTCGCATTAAGCGGAAATCCAAGCCCGCTGCCGGTCCCACAAACGCCCCGCTGGTCGAAGCGGAAGAGAAGCGAAGCCTCGGTCTGACTATCGTGCGCGGTACTCAAGTCGTGTCTTGCTCTGTTGAAGGCCCTCCTCCTGCCGACCCCTCTGCCCGACTTGGAACTGCCGGACCCGGCGCAGCTGCCACTCTTGCCGCGGGCCCTGGTATCAGCAAGCCCGCTGGCCGCGGCCTGCCTATCGGACTTGGAGGCCCTGCAGCCGGTGTTGGTGGACCCCCACCACCAGGTGGCTTTGGATTCCCCCCTGGCGGCTTCCCCGGTGCTCCTCCTCCCGGCTTCGCTGGACGTGGAGGCCCCCCCGGCGGACCTCGTAAGTACTCCCATTTGGCTACACTGACTGAGGCTTAAACTGATTGGTTTCTTCTTAGCCGGTTTTGCACCTCCTCCTGGGTTTGCTCCTCAGGTTGGCCCCCGTAAGTTTGCGCCCAAAAAATTAATCCATTCCATTTCCCATACTGACATTCCCTTCTTATAGCTGCCGGTTTCCAACCTCCTCCTGGCTTCCAGCCTCCCGGTCAGGGACGTGGATACCCTCCTCCTGGATTCGGTGGTAGATAATTGGACATTTGCACAGAGGACCATTCTATGCTTTAATTATCGGCGATCTGATTTCACCCCGAAAGGAACAAGGGCAACTCGGCGCAGAATAAGACCCACTGTCAACGCCTCCAGCGAGAGACCACGACACGCGGACAGGCTAGATTACCCCCAACTTCTCCTGGGCAAGGCGTTGTGGCGCATGGATGGAGGTCGTGTCGAGGAACAGGACAAAAAAGACCCAAATCCTTTTGAATTACGCATTAAGTCAAAAAAAAACGCTAGCTTTTAAAACGCGGCCTTTTCATCCAATTCCGTCTAATAAAACAATTCTTTAGTCCGCTTTCTGTTTAAGTCTGTTGCGCCTTCTATATTGGATGCTGCACACACCTGTCCTGCAAATCTACCCCATATATCCCGCCCTCTAACTCTTTCGGTGCCTACGTGTAACAGCCATGCGTTAGTATGCTGCAGCACCTAGTTATTCTCATCCCCTGTTGTCACTTGAGCGTCAAATCGTAACATGATAACTAGTGAATTTGGGGTGATAATCACAAAGGACTGATTAAAGGTATATTTCTTTTGCTCATTTTGGCATAAAATAGGAAGAATGCAGTAAAAAACTACCATACCGCACATGTTTACTGACAGTTACTAGCTTTTTTCCTCCCTATTCAACGAAAATATGATTGTTTTATGAAACATCAGGTTCTAACATTGTAGTAATGTAATACACGTGACACGGCCGACGCCGGTTGAGTCGAGCACTTCCGCATCATCCAGATACCAATCTTTCCTCCCCCGAATCCACTTCCGTGTGATAACTCCCAGCAACTTTACGATGGCTGCTGCTATTAAGGCAATCAACGCCAAGATCCGCTCCAACTCGGTGCTGGACTATGTCTGCTCTACCCGTACGTATCGGCCCTAGTTCCCCCCCCCGTCCCGAGATCGGCCAACGGCGAATGAGGCCGAAGGAGAATTAGCACCGGAAGCGATCTCGAGGATGATAGGAACGCCCTCGAACTTGCATTGCAACAAAGCAATAAGGCGTAAACGAATTATACAGATTGCTGACAATTAATGGCGCATCCTAGACTTCTGGGGCCCCGTCTCCAACTTCGGTATCCCCATTGCCGCTGTGATGGACACACAGAAGGACGCTGAGATGTAGGTTCTTATCCAATTAATGATGGGAGCTCCGGATTTCGTCTTCTGCCTTACAATCTGCTGCAATAGGCTCAGGGCAACTGTACTGATATTTCCATCTTCACAGCATCTCCGGCCCTATGACCGGTGCCCTTGTTGTCTACGCTGCCACCTTCATGCGCTACTCCCTCGCTGTCACCCCCAAGAACTACCTCCTGTTCGCATGCCACTTGACCAATTTCGGCGCTCAGACTACTCAGGCATACCGTTATCTGAACTACTGGAAGTACGTTTACTACTCGGGACCCCTGATTTATTTTTGGGTTTTGTCTTTGTCTACAACCATCATATAATCTTGACTACTAACCTGGTTCTACTTTGTAGGTGGGGAGGCCGGGAAAAGCAGCTCGCCGAGCAGGCCGCCAAGGGAGGCGCGGCCGCCGAGGCTGGTGCTTAAGAATTGTCTCCGAGAACAAATTGATTGCTTTTTCGGTTTTCATTGGGGCTAATAGGCATCTGTCTCGTTTCGCAGCATTGCAACTTCTCACACATATGGCCTGCTAGTTTCTGCTTTGCGGCCAGATGAGTCTCGGACAATGACAAAAGAGGAGACAAATAGAGGGGACTTGCGGTTTTGAGGAAGACGCTTGGAAATTGGCCTTGCCTGCACTTTAGTGCAGGTTCGCTGATAGTCACTGTACATAGGCTCTATACTGTTGCGCTTGAATCATATTCCTTTTTTGGTATGATCTAGTTCTTGATCATGACAACTCCGTGATTCGGTGATAGGCTGGGTGTTTTATATATGGCTTATTTCTGTTTCGATGAACTTCTAAAGAAATCTCCATACATGTGATCCAGTAGATTGTCCCCAAAAACAAAATAAAATATGTATAAGAAAGGGTAGTTTGACTCCAAAACTCGCCGACTGTACCGACAATTTGACCGGAAGTGTGAATGAACATCACAAATATGCCCTCCGTCCATGTTAAAGCAATATATAAAAACCGAATGATAGATATGCCAGTCTAGGGTTGAGACAGAACAAAGAAATGCAACAAGACCTAACTGCTCTACAGCAACGAAAACAAAACAAAAATTTCTTCAATGAGAGTCACAGTATCCAGGGCTTTGAGGGACTTCAGGGCCCATCCAGCTCATGAGGGTCAGGTATGTCGTATAAACGCAGCATATGGCGCCGAAGACAGCAAGAGCTATATCGGCAATCACCTGGCGTTTGGAGCGAGCACAAGCACGAAGGTGCAGAAGGGGCTATGATGAGTGAGTCACACTGTTCCGTGATCATAAGAAGGATAAAGGAGAGGGACATACCGGGTACACGTAGATCAATGGAACACAAGCAAAGCTTCCAACCAGCGAAACGAACTTGTCTAGATCATTTGCACCACACCAAGCGATAACCGCACAGACCATAACTAGGAAGAAACGGAAGCCGTTCTTCTTCCACTTGATATATGGGTTGTACTTGCCACTGCGAGTAAAAAGTTCGTTTTCCATAATGCGGATAGCAGGGAAGAGCTGCAGCGGAGTGCTCAGTAGGATAGCAAGTGAGTAGAGGAACTGGACCACGTTGACAAATTTATCATCCTGGGGAAGATTAAGAAGGATGACGGTCTTTGTTGCCGACCCGTAAGCTGCGTAACTCAAGGCACCGGCAGATAGGAAGATAAAGGTGATTACAACCATGACACCGGCCAATACACCAGGGAACCTGTTTGGCTGCTTCATTGATTCTTGAATCGGGATGATGAGACCGATACCTTCGTAGGTGAATATGGCAGTACCAATGAACATAGACCAGGTGGTTGGATTGAAGGAAATGACGTCTGAAATGCCGCCCTGGCCTACCAGAGTGCTGATATCGTAATAGTAAATATATAGTAGACCCAAAAGAATGAAGACATCAGCAATCAGAGCGGTGAACCCAAGTTTGCTGATATCCCGAATCAAAGACAGAGGCAGGAAGATGACAAGCTGCAGCAAAACCATGTACTTGATGTCAATGAATGTCGCGCACTTGCTCACAGCTAGCACGAATGCCTGCAAATTTTGCGAGACGAAGACGATGTACGCTGCCACAAAGCCTAGCTGACTCAGGACGATGGATCCGAGAATAATGCGTCGCATATGCTTGCCGTATAGAATACCACCGATGTCACCGAACGACCCTTCGATCTTCATGCGGGTATTGACCAAAAGAATGAAGGCATAATAACTTAGAATCGAGACTCCCAGAAGCACCATGCTACTGAAGAGCATACCACCATTTAGGAAGGCTCGAGGCAGGAACAAAATACCAGTACCCACAAAGGATTTGAGCAACAGGAGTACTGCACCAGTTGCAGTAGTTGTCCCTGCCGGTGAGCGCTGCTTATGCTTTCTCTTTTTCCGACCCGGTGTTTCAGACGGCAATAGCGCTGCGTCTTCTCCAGACTCTCTGCCCTCCTCTGGCTCGTCCCAGGTATCAGACGAGAAGTACTCATCCGGCCCTAGCACCTCGTCATCTTCCTCCAATTCTTCTCCGGCGAAGTGTCCATAGAGAGTCAGGAACTCTAAGAAGCTAGTTGTCGGTAGTTGAGGTGCACTATATCCGTGGGGCGCCGCTGTAGTTGACCTACTTCCGCGGTGTGGACTTCCAGCTGCTCTTCGCAGATAATCTCTGCGGAATCCTCCCGGAACCCGAATTGTGTCAATGTCTTCTGTATCAGCCTCTGGCCTTGGTCGGCTGACACTGAAACTTTTGCTTCGTAAGAACCGCCCTGCGGCTTCGGCCTCGGCATCCTCCGCCCAACGGTAAACCTGTCGTGTGATATCACCGCCCTGAAGCCGAAGACTCGAGAAGTTGTCCCCACCACCAAGGCTGGTCGCAGTTTCTGACTGATTATCTGTGTGTTCTGTGACTAGATGTCGCTTGACAACTTCAGGGTCTTCGTACGGAGCCATGCCAGGGGAGTCAGCTCCATTTTTGGTGTCGAAAGAGCCATACTGGGAGGCTAACGGTCGGTTATCTAGAGTCGAATGCACCGCAGGTGATCCGTTGTGTCGTGACGGAGTTCCAAATCTCGGCGGCGAGCGACCAAGGCTTTCTTGGAGTTGGGATGCAATTATAGAATGACCAGGTCCGGGAATCGAGGACGGATTAGGGATGGACCTGGAAAAATCCTGCTCGGTGCTAATATTTGTGACAGGTCGGCTGGCCGCAATACCCTGTCTAGACGACAAGGATGTTCCCAACGAAGGGGAGGGCACCGGGGATGCAAGACGTGCTATAGAAGCCTTTCTGTTACCAAACTCAGGTGCGGGTGACCTCGAGCGCACCGAGGATGAGGCTATCGGCACAGATCGAGATGGATTTAGGGACGAGCCCTCTCCATTATCCGCCATTTTGAAGGTTGCCCCAGGATCAAGTTCGCTCCTGACAGAATACCGTGATTAGGCTCGGGTGATGAGCAGGGAAAGAAGGCCGGACACTTGAAACGACAATGCAGGTCAGCTTCTCGGAGGGAAATTTGGGAGAAAAGGCTAAGATGCAACTGAGGAGTGTTTGAGAGACTAATAATAGCGCCAAGCAGTCTATGGCCGATCAGCTCCAAGTGCGGTTGATAGGATGCAAACTGGAAAATGTTTGCACCCTATCAACGTCATCTACTGAAGTAGCTTAATTTCTTTTGAGGATTATTTAACATTGGCGTCTCTTTATAAACTCAATGGTCTTGTTGGGACTGTTGGCTTTTGTTATTTAAATTGCATTGTTTTTTATGCCCCCATGTTCATACCATAAATTCTGCAACTGCCATGGCGAAACGAGTCGGAGAAACCTCCGACTCCTTGTCTCGGCGACGCCCAACTTTCGCGGCTCGAACTGCTGAAGAGGATGTCTCACGACTCGATCCTGGGGACTCGGCTCATATTGTCTCAGACGAACGTACTCGCCTGCTGCCATGGCCAACGGCTCGATCGGCTCGTCCGTATGAGCCCGTGAATTCGTCAGAACCAATTGATGACCAACACCATTCCTCACCCAGACATTACTTCCAAGGCTTTGCTCAGTGGTGGCACAAACGAGGAAACCATGAGCAAGAACGGCAGACCTGCGGAGATACCACTTTACAAAATGTGTTCCTGTCCGCGGATCCTTTCCGCGATGCCCGCGCAGATAAAAAGGACAAGAGTGGACATCGATCCCGATCAGTGGATGGTCCGAAGAAGCTTGGTACGTTCTCTGGTGTCTTTGTTCCAACGACATTGAATGTACTGAGCATTCTCATGTTTCTTCGGTTCGGATTTATCCTGGGACAAGCTGGTGTATTGGGCATTTTAGGTGAGCACTACCTCCCCACAAAGTCAGGATCCTACTTCTGATACATTTAAGGACTTCTACTTGTATCATACACAATTAACCTCGTGACAACGATGTCTCTGTCCGCAATTGCAACGAACGGGACGGTCCGAGGCGGTGGTGCATACTACCTTATTTCTAGATCTTTAGGCCCTGAATTTGGTGGCTCCATCGGCATTGTATTCTATCTTGGTTCTGTGTTCAACACTGGCATGAATGCTGTTGGTTTGGTGGATTGTTTTACTCAGAACTTTGGGATGTTGTCTGGGGACTGGGCCAATTTCCTGGAAGAAGGCTTTTGGTGGCAGTACCTATGGGGAACTATTATACTGGTATTTTGCACAGGAATTTGTTTGGCAGGAAGTTCCATATTTGCGAGGGCAAGTAATGGGCTTTTGGTCATTCTGCTTGTGGCAACATTCAGCATACCGCTCTCTGCAGTTTTTATGAAGCCCTTCTCAATCCCTCGCCAGGGGGTGCAGTTCACGGGACTTCGTTTGAAAACTTTGATGGGGAACCTCAAACCTCATCTAACAAAGGGAGCTGCAGGAAGCCAAATAAAAGGGCGGGAAAACTTCCAAGACCTCTTCGGCATTCTGTTTCCTGCCACAGGAGGTATCTTTGCGTAAGTTGGAGACACGAGAAATTCAAGCCCATTTGACTAATTGGCTATTAGAGGTGCAAGCATGTCCGGTGACTTGAAGAACCCAAGCAAGGCTATTCCTAAGGGTACACTCTCTGGTTTGGCTTTGACCTTTGTCACCTATGGGCTTGTCATCCTTGCGATGGCGGCCTCAGTGACCCGGGAGTCGTTTTACAACAACGTGAATGTTATACAAATCGTAAGTCCTTAAGAAAGGAATACTACAAGCCCGATCTAACTGAGTATAGGTCAATGCCTCTGATAGTGTGATCCTTCTTGGAGAATTCGCAACCAGCTTCTTTTCCGCACTGATGGGTGTGATTGGATCTGCCAAACTTCTCCAAGCCATTGCGCGAGATAGCCTCTTGCCTGGCATAGGAATCTTTGCCCAAGGCACGCAGAAAACCGATGATCCTGTATATGCCATCATCATAACCTTTGTGTTCGCCCAGGCCACTATGCTCTTCGACATCAATCGCATTGCATCCTTTGTTACTATGACTTACTTGATGACTTTCCTTGTGACGAATCTCGCGTGTTTCCTTTTGAAAATTGGCTCTGCGCCCAATTTTCGTCCGTCGTTTCGCTACTTCAACTGGCAGACTGCAGCGGCTGGAACTCTCGTCAGTGGTATCAGCATGTTCTTTGTGGACGGTGTTTATGCTACGGGATGTGTAGGCATTCTTGTTGTTCTTTTCCTGCTCATCCATTATACCTCGCCACCCAAGCCTTGGGGCGACGTCAGTCAAAGTTTGATCTATCATCAAGTGCGAAAATACTTGCTTCGACTGCGTCAGGAGCACGTCAAGTTCTGGCGTCCTCAAATCCTTCTCTTTGTCAGCGATCCCGACAAGCAATACAAAATGGTCTCCTTCTGCAATTCGTTGAAGAAAGGATCCCTATTCGTACTAGCTCATGTTCTTGTGACAGATGACTTTTCAGCAGCTGTTCCCGAAGCACGTCGTCAGCAAACCGCATGGACAAAATTTGTCGAGTCTTCCAAGATCAAAGCCTTCGTCAACATTTCCGTTTCGCCCGCTGCGGAATGGGGTATGCGAAATATTGTGTTGAACTCCGGTCTGGGCGGCATGAGGCCTAACATCGTTGTGATTGACCAATTCCGATTGGACCAGTCACTTGTTGAAACCCTATCTTTGAACACCCGTCGTAGAGACTCGAGGACTGGACGCCACTCGGCCCACTTAAGCACGCGAACTGAGGCTTTCAGTGAGTCTGGGCCAGTAAACCCGCCTATGAGCGGGCAGAGCTATGTGACGATTCTCGAAGATCTCTTGTTCAAGCTTCGGATCAATGTTGCTGTAGCTAAGGGATTTGAGGACCTGGAGCTACCAGACCCCCACGGTCGCCACACTAAGAAGTATATTGATCTGTGGCCAATCCAGATGTCCGCCGAGCTTGGGGCTGACAGTGAAAGCAAGCAAAATGTGCTGACCACTAATTTCGACACATACACTTTGATCCTTCAATTGGGTTGTATTCTTAACACTGTTCCCTCGTGGAAGAAGACATACAAAATCCGGGTTGTGGTGTTTGTGGAGTACGAGACCGACGTAGAAGACGAAAGAGGGCGGGTTGAGGCTCTCCTTGACAAATTACGGATTGCGGCCGAAGTCTTAGTCTTCTGGCTTGCCTGTGGTGATCTCCAGGCTTATCAAACCATCGTGAATGATGACGCTTCGGTCACAGCTGATGCCCGAGATAGGGTTAATTCCGCTCTACAAGGGGAGGACTGGTGGCAAGGCGTCTTACGAGCTCGTGCCCTAGATCAAGAACCGCGGAATGGAATCGGTGACAGTCTCCGTCTTGATAAGTCATATACCTGGCAAGGACCATCGAGCCAAGATAGTGGAGCCAAACCGTTGTACCATCGAGCGACTGGCTTGAGGAAACTGATTCAGTCCACTCGACGCAGACGTTCTGTCTCAAGCTTCCGGGCTCTAGGAGGAGTGAATCTCGGCATGCAAACACATCGCTTACTAGATGCGTTCGTCGACTACGACAGCTCCGATAGCCCGAGCGAGAGCGAAGACAGTGACCTGGAGGCGTATGCTAGTGATCTAGAACCCGAGGACGGCGGAGAGGACATACTCAGCGCTCGAAATGAGGCTGTACCCATTTCTGGCACTTCAAGACTCCTTGGCCGGTCTAAGGCCGATGATTGTAGCCCTACCGCAGACTCCCCAAGCACACCAGTGCGGGCGAGCTCTCCAGTAGAGGAAACATCATCCCACCAGATAATCCCATCCATTATTGAGACTTGGAACGATACCTCCCCGAAAAGCAAACCTCTAGGTCTACGGCCCTCTATAAGCCGTTCTGCTTCTAGCAATCGGTTCAGCTCCTCGCCCATCCCCGAAGCCAAAGTGGACACTGAAGCTGAGGAGGGCAATGGACCGTCCATCATGTTTGCGGCGCAAAATTCACCTCCACGATTTGCAAACAAGCTAGATTCCATCTACGCTCGTCGCCCGTCTGCCGTGTCCCCCACCTCCCGCGGTGGCCACGGTAGTATGCATGCAACAGGATACCCTAGTGGGGCATCGGTTCCATTGTCTTTCAATGATCTTCCAAGTCGAGCACAGCATTTGATTCTGAACGAGTTGATGGTTCAGCAGAGTCATGACACCGCCGTAATCCTCACGACTCTACCGTCTCCCGTGGAGGGAACTTCGCTTAGCGCGGAGGATAGTGCGTCTTATTTGAGCGACCTGGACGTCCTATGGAACGGCTTACCCCCGTGCCTGCTGGTGCACAGTAACAGTATGACTGTGACAATGAACTTGTGATGAATTGATGACTGTGAATTATACAAAACTGTACATAGCACATGATAGATCCTCGTAGACTGTTAGAAGTATGTATATGACAGCAATGGTACTCATACACAAATTCTCTTTAGCCATTAGATTCAACCTGGGTGGATAAAGGTGTAGAGACGATCATCGTGCTACTGTACGCCCCAAAATCTCTGCACCTGCTCACATGTTATTGTATAATAGGAGACCAGCTGAATTGTAAAGATACGGGAAATGATCATAAGAAGGGCCCAAAAATCAACAATGCCGGTAGAAAATTGGTATTGGTGTGGCTGTGATTGGGCCATTTCTCGTTCCCTGGTATACCCAGTAGCCTCGAGCACTTCTCCCCCAACTTCTCCATTGCTCCATTGTCTCCATTGCTTATATCTTGGCGAACTGGCTCTTTGGCGATTGCGCTTTTCATTCTTTTGTTTCCTATTTGTCCTATCTTCTATTTTCAATTTTTAATTTCTAATCTCAAAAACTCGTCCCTTGATTGCCTGCCCAATCCCCCGTTCAATCCCGTCATGACCGAGAATGCCACGCGCCCATTGAACAGTGTGGGTACAAATACCGTTCCACGTCGTACGGTCGACTTTTATTCTGAAAGTACGGTCAAAGTCCTCCCTAACCACTTTAAGGGTGTGAACGGAAATTGTGACCGGGACGACTCCGACAGCGCCTCCGTCTCCTCAGAAACACACGAAGCGATTGCGACTAGGGAACCCATGCGGCCGATAATGACGCGCAAGGCCTCTTCGCCTATGGCTCCCACCTTTATGGTGTCTGCGCCAGGCAAGGTTATTGTTTTTGGAGAGCATGCTGTGGTCCACGGCAAAGCTGCTATGGCCGCAGCTATATCTCTTCGCTCCTACCTTCTTGTCACTACCCTGTCTAAATCACAGCGCACGATCACGTTGAACTTCCGGGATTTGGGTCTTAGTCACACTTGGGACATCGACACTCTACCCTGGGATAAATTCCACGAGCCCTCAAAAAAGAAATTTTACTATAGCCTTGTCACCGAACTCGACCCAGAACTTGTCGACGCAATCGAACCACACCTTCAGGGCGTCTCCAAGGGCCTCCCAGAGGAGCAGCGCAACATCCACATCCGCTCTGCATCCTCTTTCCTCTACCTCTTCCTCTCCCTAGGCTCTCCGCAAAGCCCAGGTGCTATCTACACCCTTCGATCCACCATCCCTACCGGAGCCGGCCTAGGAAGTAGTGCTAGTGTTTGCGTCTGTCTCAGTTCTGCGCTACTTCTTCAAATTCGTACCCTCGCCGGGCCCCATCCAGACCAGCCACCGGAGGAGGCAGAGACACAGATCGAGCGTATTAACCGCTGGGCATTCGTGGGAGAGCTTTGTATCCACGGCAACCCTAGCGGGGTGGACAACACGGTGGCCGCAGGCGGCAAGGCTGTGATTTTCCGACGCGACGATTACTCGAAACCTCCGACAGTTACCTCGCTCCCCAATTTCCCCGAACTCCCTCTCCTGCTTGTTAACACCCAACAAGCGCGCTCCACGAAGACAGAGGTTGAAAAAGTGGGAGCTCTAAGAGATGCCCATCCTATCGTGACTGAGTCAATCCTCAACGGCATCGACCAAGTGACATGCTCTGCACAGCGTTTAATCCAGGACCCTGCTTTCGAGGATCCTGGTTTCAAGGGCATCCGTGATACCACACTCGCCCATATCGGAACCCTTATCCGTATCAACCACGGCTTCCTTGTCTCCCTAGGCGTCTCTCACCCCCGCCTCGAACGTATTCGTGAACTTGTCGATTATGCCGACATTGGCTGGACAAAGCTGACCGGTGCAGGTGGTGGCGGGTGTGCTATTACCCTCCTCCGCCCTAATGCGAAGGCGGAAGTCAAGCAGGATCTCGAACAGAAGTTCGATGAGGAGGGTTTCACTACGTATGAGGTTACCCTCGGCGGTGACGGTGTTGGTGTTCTCTACCCGGCCGTTCTACGTAACGGCTCGGATGAAGAAGGCGGCGAGGAGATCGATCAACAGAAGTTCGAAAATGCCGAGGGCCCTGAAGGTATTGAGCGTCTTGTTGGTGTGGGAGTGGAGGAGAGGAGAGAGGGCTGGAAGTTCTGGAAGCGAGCTATCAACTAAGCCGGTTTTAATTGGCGTTGCATAGCATCGTGACACAGATTTCAACTTTTCTTTCCTCCCTGGGGCTCACCTTCTGTGGCTATTCAGGCCAAGACTTTTGTTTGGTTTTGGTTTTGATGTGGCCTTTATCTCAATCCATTCATCTCCCATTCTCTGTAAACAATATCTTTATCCATCATGTGACCATAAACTCACTTCTTTGATCCTCTTCATTCTCGATGTCAACCTGGTAGTCTATCTTGTTGAATTTTGTCGTGGACTTCACCATTTTAATCTCCATCCCTGTTCAGATTTCGGTCATGATTGTGTTGCTTTTTTATCTCGCTTCTCGCTTCTCAATTTCTGCAACTTTCGTCTCGGGCTTTCTCTTTGCATGAAATATATTAACGCTATGACTGTGGAAGAGCTGGTTCCCTATATTGTTTCGGGCTCTTTGAGACAAATCACATAATACTATGAGGACTTGCTTCTGCTTTCCCATGTAAAATGTACAAAATAAATTGCAGTGCATCAGATTCGTTATGTTCTCATCCCTATTGTCAATGTTTACTGAGCATGTAAAACACTGAATCAATTGATTTTTCAACCTTAGAACGCTGGCGCTAAGTGATCAAATTAACGAGACTGGCCAGTGAGACGAAACCAGAAGCTTTAAAGCTTGCCGAAAGCTTCTTTATGTTCTTCCATCAGGCTTCGCTGGCCCTGTTGCAGTGCCATAGGTATCTTCTCTAGGCATTTAGCAGCAGCAGCAAAGAAGCCGAGAAAGACCTTGCTCGGCCGCAACACACGGCTCAAGTATTCAGGGTGGAATTGCACACCAACATAAAACGGATGACCTGTATCACGAATCTCAAGTATCTCGATACGTTTGCCGGTAGTATCTTGGCCAACAACAGCAAGACCGGCCTTGTCAAGTTCCTTAACCATTTCCGGGTTGATTTCGTATTGGTTTCGGTGGCGTTCCTCAATCTGGGAAACCGTGGGGCCATATAACTTTCGCAACTTTGACCACTCGGTACCCTCCTTGAAGATGCATGGATGCTTACCTAGACGCATAGGGCCATTCTCCGAATTTGGTTCAGGCATGTGGATGATCACATGTTTCTTGGATTCTGGATGGAGCTCTTGGCTCCCTGCATCTGAGATGCCCATGACATGGCGGGCATATTCAATCACTGCGAGTTGCATACCAAGGCAGATGCCTAGGAATGGCTTATTGTTAACCCTTGCCCATGTGATTGCTTTGATCATCCCGCCGGTGGCGCGGCTACCAAAACCACCAGGGACAATAATGCCCTTGACACTGCAAAGGTCATACCAGGCTTTGTGATACTTGACTGCAGAGTTCTGATAGGTCTCATCCTCGAGATGTGTGGCGTCAATCCAGATAATTTTGACTTTCTTCTGACAGTACATAGCTGCGTGTTCGATGGACTTGGAAACACTGAGGTAGGCATCTTTATTGGAGGTGTATTTACCCACAAGGGCAATTAAGACTGTTTCGGTGATAGTGTCTTGGCTTCGAACAAGATGAACCCAGTCATGCCACATGCACTTGTCTTGTTCTGTACGGGCAGGTGTTTGATCAGGTGGCAGTTTGAGGTGTTCGCAGAGGAGGCCGAGAAGATTCTGTTTCTCGAGGATGAGGGGTACATGATATGTGGTTGGACCATCGTGCACGGAAATGACCTGTTCTGGTTCCATTGAGCACATATTGGCGATTTTGTGGATAGTGCTTGGATCCAATGGCACCTCACAGCGACATGCAACCTTTAATTGATTAGCCGAGAGCGCTATACAGGTATGTAGAATGATCACATACTAGAAGTGGATTTAATCCAGCGCTCCGAACGTCAGAAACGGATCTTTGAGTCGGCTTCGTCTTTTGCTCACCAGAAGCTCCCGGCCTATCCTGATGTGAGCTTTGTATTTCCTCGCCTGAAAAAAAAAATTAAAACTTACGGCACTATAGGGACAAAAGCAACGTGAATTTGAACGAGATTTTCTTTGCCCACTCTCTTTCGAAGCTGAGCAAGAGCATAAATGAAGGGCGCACTTTCGATATCACCCACGGTACCGCCTAGCTCAATAATGCACACATCCGGCTCGGCGTGGGACTCGTCCACGGGTATTTTTGCTGTCCGTTCGATGTACTCCTGGATGGCGTTGGTGAGATGAGGCACCACTTGAACAGTTCTGCCTAAAAAATCACCGGCGCGTTCTCTAGAGATGATGTCCTGATAGATCTTCCCAGTCGTGATGCTATGATCACGCTGGAGAGTGGTTGAAAGGTAACGCTCGAAGTTGCCGAGGTCAAGATTCATTTCACCCCCATCATCCGTCACATAGATCTCTCCATGACTAGCTCAGATTTGTAAGTGCATGGACCCGCAGAAGTTGCCTTGGATCGGTGGGACTTACTGGAGTGGGCTCATAGTCCCTGAATCGATGTTGATATAGGGGTCTATCTTGATGGTGGTGACGATAAATCCTTTGCTTTGCAGCAGCAGGCCTGCGCTCGAAGCGACTATGCCCTTCCCCGCGCCAGAGATGACGCCTAGCGAAGTCAGTTCCTTATTCTGGTACCTTGAAACGCCCAACGTGAGATATGGAGACTGCCCCGCTTTTCTCCACGGGGTAGAGCTTTGGAGACAGAGCCATTTCTGACCGCCGTTAGACTCACCTCCAGATACCACAATGTACTTCATCTTCAACTTTGAGGCTTCAAGTTGGATACGAACATTGATGAAAATCAAAGGAAGATATGTAAGACAAAACAATGCTAATCCCGATTTGGAAACACACATGTATGACATGTGCAGATCAAGCACCGCCTTCATCCTGAGACAGCTTCCTCTTTCAGCCTCGTTGATCGTCCTTTTTTCAGAAGCGAGAAAGAAATCAGTTTACTATCTGTGTCCAGTCAAGATTCCAAAAAAAGTGGATTTCGCCTGTATTTCAAGATATAATTCGGAGGGACACAATCTCGACACCACGTCCACCATCGTACGTGGACCGACATAGCTTAGTGCACGGTTGGTTGAAACTCGATAGTACCTTTTGGCTATGCAATCTCACGGATATTGCAGAAATCAACTATGATGGGCTTTCAAGTTCGTACTCCAAGGGTTCCGATCCAACCTCGGGAGTATCTGACGTCATGACTTCTCTCAACTCTCTATTCTTAACACCGACACGCAAAGTATGGTGCTGAAAGAAGGAAAAATGACAAACTTGAAAACTTTGAGAGAAGGCTCTAGTGAAAAAGTCCACAAGATGCTATACGTGGTTAGATACCCGCCTCTCTACATGTCGGTATCATCTGTCTCAGCCGTGATGATTTGCCTGCGGTATCTATCTCAGGCTCCATGATGTCTCTGTGGAGAACACCCGTCAGGTCAGGTCCAACACGAACGAATCACACCCCACGTCCATGTAAGTCACTCTGTCCAAGACAGGGACAGGGCCTTCTTTTTTTTTTTTTTTTTGGAAAACCTTGACTTCCATGAAAATAGCTCTTTACTGTTCTCTTCACTCATCTGCAAATTGTTGCTACGCAAAAACCTTTCTCCAGATTCAAACTCGCCATGAAGTCTGAATCTGTGACATGCGTTGGCATCGCAGCATCTATTGCGTTGGCTACATGCCTAACACGTGCGCTGGCTGAAGGGAATAACTCAACAAAGGGGAATAGTTCGACTGTTCCTATCAGTCTGATAATTGCAAGGGAGGGTGGCAATAAGTCGAGTCCGCTTCTCTATGGGGTGATGTTCGAGGTGAGTAATAAGTTAGTTTAATGCTTACGGCCAGGAACTGTGCCGCTAACCTTTTGACATTGTTAGGAAATGGACCATTCTGGTGGGGAGCTTGAGTCTGTTGATCAAGAGCTTGACTAACTATTTCAAGGCGATGGTGGAATCCACGGACAACTGCTGCAGAACAATGGGTTTCAAGGAACAAGTCTTGGTTTGACTGCCTACGCCCAGGTGGGGGATGTAAAAATCTTTCAGGATACATCGAAACCCGTCAGCAAAGCAATCACGTCTTCGCTCAAGGTCGAAGTACCGGATGGGGTAACAGAGTATGTTGGCTTTGCCAATACCGGTTACAGCGGAATTCCAGTCACGGGTGCCACATACAACTGTTCATTCTGGATGAGTGGTAACTACTCGGGCATCATTAACCTGCAGCTTGTTGGGTCTCATAGTGGTTTGATATATGCCGATCATAACCTGACTGTTAAGAGTACGGATGAAAAATTCACGGAATTCAAAACCAGATTCAACACTACTTATGCACCAAGAGGGGACAACGAGTGGCATTTGACATTTGATGGATCGAAAGTTGCTGGCAGCGCGTTGAACTTTGGCTTAGTCCAGCTATTTCCTCCCACTTTCAAAGGAAGGGAAAACGGGTTGCGAGATACCATTGCCATGTTTCTGGAAGAGGTCAATGCGGCGTTTCTCCGTTTTCCAGGAGGGAACAACCTCGAAGGCTTGGAGGTTGATTCTCGTTGGAAGTGGAACACTACGATTGGACCCGTGGTCGACCGTCCAGGAAGAGAAAGTGACTGGTTTTACCCTAACACAGATGCCCTCGGCCTGGACGAGTATCTGTGGTGGTGTGAGGACATGAACATGGCGCCCCTACTGGCTGTATGGTCAGGAAAGTCCTATGGGGACATTCTCTCCGGGCCGGACCTCGAACCTTTCGTCGAGGATATCATGAATGAGATGGAATATCTCTTTGGCGACTCCTCGACATATTATGGCAAACTGCGAGCCCAGAACGGCCGGAAGGAACCATGGAAAGTTGACCACATTGAAATTGGCAACGAAGATGATCTGACCCGTGGGTGTGACACCTATCCGGATCGTTTCAATCAAATCTACAAGGCCATCCATGACAAGTACCCGCACATAACGTTTGTTGCTTCCCATGGGGACTATCTGTGTTTGCCATCTCCGCTTCCCCCAAATCTCATACTTGATTTGCATCTATATCGCGCACCAGATGACTTTGTCAATTTGTTCAACCAGTTTGATAACCAGCCGCGGAACCAGTCAGTGATGGTTGGTGAGTTCGGGTGTCGCAATACCACAGAAGAGACAGGAATATACTGGTCATACATGCAGGGCAGCTGCAGTGAGGCCGTGTACATGATTGGAATAGAGCGCAATAGTGACATAGTCAAGATGGTGGCTTATGCACCCTTGATGCAGCATTTTGATTTCGTTTCTTGGTCGGTAAGAATACCTATCCAACAGATTTTGCAAGAGGATAGCTGACCACGCTGTATTAAATCATAGCCTACACTATACGGGTTTAACTCGGCTCCCGACTCTATCACACCTTCGGTTTCATATTTTGTGCAAAAGATGTTCGCATCTAACAAGGGTGATACCATTCTTCCAGTCCACTCATCGACAGGATTTGGACCTGTTTACTGGGTGGCTTCGAAGACAGGTTCACAATACTATTTGAAACTGGCAAACTATGGTCCCGAGCACCAGAACGTCAAGGTGAGTATACCAGGAACCAAAACTGGTCAACTAGAGATGCTTGCTGGCCCCAAGTACCAGGGTGACACGCCGTTCAACGTGCAAATCCAAACCGTCACCACCAGTATCTTCAATGGGCAAGGGAATTATTCAATAGACATGGATCCTTGGGCTGTCGCTGTTCTAGCAGTCTCCTGAACGCGACCATTGTACATGCTCCAAGATTCGTGTACTTCAGACGGTGTGCTTTTATCAAAGTCCAATAATCTCAAGCCAGCTCACCTTGTGTCCCAGAGGACCAAATTTGGGCATCGATTATGTGTCCCACGAGACAAATATAATTCAATCCAAAATATTCACTGGCACCTCGACAGTCTTATCACGCACATAATCCGCAAAGCCCTTGCCAAATCCATCCAATCGGCTCGAGCTGCTAACACCCCGGCCAAGAATCCCATATACCACAAAATGCACAGCATGAATGTGTGGGAATTCCACTCTCTCAACGAAGAACGACTCATCCCAGTCATCATCGTCAGCGAGCATCTCTCGCATTCTTTCAATGCTCATATAAGACCGTAACCAAGGCCAGTGAGTCGCATTAGGAACAAAGATTCCAAAGTTGAGATTGGACCCTTTGTCGCCAGATCGGGCGAGAGCGATGTCTCCCAGTCGAATAGATCGAGTTGGAGATTGGAGGAGGGCGACTTCGTCACTGGATGGACTATGGTTGTAGCTTGCACGTGGCTGTAGAGCTTTGTAGGCTGGCGGATGGCCTGTTGGAAACGATGTGATGGAATCGGGCCCATCGATGAAGTTGATCTCTTCATTGAGATCATCCTGTTTGACTATCGCGGGATAGTAGGCTAGGATTGGGCGCGGGACTGCTGTGCGCATATCGAGGGAGGAGTGGAATCCTAAAATCTGCATGGTCAGCTAGGAGTCTGGGCTTTGTGATCACAAGTTTCTGTTCGCACCCGAGAAATGCTTGAGAGAAATGTCTTTCATTGCTTTTCCAACAGCGAGAACGGCATCAGCCTCGCCTGCAGCAACAAAGATCCGTAGATATGTGGTACTTTGCCGCTGTGAACTAGGATTCGGAGCAGGGATACCGATTCTAGATATTCACATGTCAACACTGGTTCACCGTTGCGTTTGAAAGATGAGATAAAAGGCACCTTTGGAATTCGAGTGTGTCAATCCGATCAATGGATTCCTTTGGAATGAAATGTCGGATTTGTCGTTCAATCAGGTCCCACTTCTCATCAGTGCCATATCCAGTGGCATTCAGCAAAATTTGAGCCTCGAAACCACCGGGATAGAACACGGCTAACTTGGTTGTCGGAGGCGGCGCATAGCCTCGGATGCCATGAATGCGAACCCTATACGTAGTTTCAGTAAGTATTTCAATATAACATTGACGGGAAAAGGACACTTACCTATCCTTTCCAACTGGTTCAATAACAACATCATCCAAAATAGCACTGACATCACTGTTCAAGTAAACATTTCCCTGAAGTTCATATAAAAGTTGGCACCGAACAGTATCAACATCCACCATACCACCAGTTCCAGGATGCTTCACAATAACACACGATCCACCAGCATCAATCTCCGCAATCGGAAATCCCGGCTCAAGAAACGTATCAACTGGGTGCTGGTCAAACCCAGGGAAGTTGCCACCAGTAACATAAGCCGAGCACTCAATAAGGTGACCCGCCACCAGGGACCCAGCCAGCCGGTCATAGTCCGACTCCGACCAGGAGTGCCAGTACCACGCCGCCGCAATAACAGGACTGGCGTCTGCGACCCGGCCGCAGATAATTATATCTGCACCACGACGGAGTCCGTCCACGATTCCCCGGGCTCCGAGGTATGCGTGTGCCGAGACCATGGGGACGGGCTTGGTGATGTTGGTGAATGCATAGGTGAGAGGCCTAGGTTTGACGGACATATTTTCGGCGTCGAGATGTTGGAGGCCGTCTGCGGACTGCGGCATGTTCGGGCCGAGTTTGGTATAGAGGTCATCTCCTGAAAGGTAAGCTACCCGCAAAGCGAGGCCTTTTTGGTTGATCTGTTGCGATTCAGTGCCTAGATTCATGTAGTTGGGTGAAGGATGTACTGACCAGTTCATGCACCTTCAGGGCTAGCCCTTTGGGATTGAGAGCTCCTCCATTTAGTACGACTTTGATTCCCTTTTCAGCGATCACGTCGATGGTCTGCTGGAGACCCTCCCAGGCTGTCTGCTCGTATCCGGGATGTTCGCCACGTTGGAAGGCTTGGGCATTATTTGCCATATTGACCTCTTAGCTCAGTTAGTACTTGGTACTTGGTTCATAGGGCTCAGTAACGAACCCGCCAGGTAGTCGCCCGTGATAAAGTCGACATCTCCTAGAGTGGCCTGGCGATACATCTCGTATGCAGGATCGCCTTTAATTCCATCAGTACTATTGGCTGATGCCTTGATCAAAGTGTTCTCCATACCATGATAGCCAGAGCAATTAGCGACTCTGACTGGTCGGGTCTTTCCCCTTCTGTCAGGCATTGCACAGTTTTGTAGATCTGATATTTTCCCACGAAATGTTGAGGCAAGTTGTTGATTTTGAACTGAAACCTTGTAGAGAATGGCCGGAAACTTGAATTGAATTCTTATCTTTAATTCGAATTATTCCAAGTTCGTAGCTAGAGAGAAGAGCACTGAGGCAAATGAGAGGAAGCCCACGGGAAGTCCAGTCCAAAACTCCGTGGGCCGTGGGATTTTGTCCGGAACCACTTCACTGATCCAGCCAATTGAACTTCATGCTAATTCAAGCTCTTGTTTTTGAAACCTCAACCTGTCAAGACTAATCCGTGGGATTTTTGATTATTCCTCCGTGGCGTTTTGCAAAGCACCGGCCGTGGGAGGGACCCCATGGCTTCAAACCTGATTAGGAAGGTGCCAGACTTTTGGACCAGTAGGATGTTCTATTGTTAGAGTTGGAAAGAATTGAATGTATTGAATAAAGTGGGAAAAAAACAATAGTTTGTGTGTTGTGCCTCGGCTTAGGGGCTTAGTTGGGTCGTAGGACTTTGCGTACTCTTGCCTGTGTTGGTATAAATGGGGGGGATCATCGGTAGAGGTATATTTCGAGACCCGTGAAGATCCGCCCAACAATTGCCAGTGTCACTTTCTTTGATCTCTTTGATCTCTTTATCCCTTTGCTTGTATCCAGGCCAAAATGCACGAGACTATCTCCGGAAACGAGGTCTACGGCCCCGGAACCTATATCGACAAGACCGTCCTCCCCGTACCAGAAGATGCCCGTAGAATCTTCAAACTGCTGGCGTCACGAACACCCGGTTTCACAAAAGAAACTGCACTATGGGATACAGTCAGCTTCGAAGGCCGGCCGGAACCTATGGTCCCTGGTCCAATGAAGTCCCCTGCCGTGACAGCGGCTTTGCATGCCATGTGCGGTCTGGTTGCGAACGAACTTCTTGAGCTGCGGGATGGTAAGCCAGCCAAGCAAGCCAGCGTGACTGTAAATACAGACCATGCTGGAATCTGGCTTGCTTCGACGTTTACGGCATTCGTGAATGGTAAGGATATCTCGACTCTTGCACGGACCCGTGAACTTCCCAATATCTTTGACAGGGACTTCGAGAAAGGGTTCGGGGTCGGTCCGTTGGCTGGCCGAGCCACTGCACTGTATCCCACCAAGGACTCCGGGGTGTGGTATCAACTCCATGGGTCGCTGGATGCAAGCAAAACACTTTGCTCGATGGGGATTAACGTGAATGTGCCCTTGAAATCGTTCCAGGAGGGTTATGACTATATTCGGGAACATGTGCAGAAATGGAGTGCTGATGAACTTGAAATGCATAATGTGAGACATGGATTATGTGGAAGTATCTGCTACTCACCCGAGGGTTGGAGGAAAACTGAAATGGGGAAGCGGCTTGCGGAATACCCTCTCGTGAATTACACGCATGAGTCGTATGCGCAATCAACACCGCCGATTCCCCTAGCTCAGCTCTCTGATCGTCGCCCTCTGGCTGGGATTAAGGTCGTGGAGATGGTGCGGATTATCGCTGGTCCCACTGTTGGAGTAATTCTCGCATCATTTGGTGCTGATGTCATCCGTGTTAACTGCAGTAGACTGGCGGATTTGAATGTGAGTGAAATAGACCATTCTCCTGCTTCTGAAACCAACTACTGATCACATCTAAACAGGTCCTCCAATTAACTCTCAACGCCGAAAAACGCACGATCGATCTCGATATTGGAAAGGAAGAGGAGATGACCCGATTGAAGGAGTTGGTGGGCAATGCAGACGTGTTTGTCCAGGGCTTCCGGTATGGGTCACTGGACCGGAAGGGACTCGGTCTGCAAAGTATGTTGGATATGGCAGCCAGAAGAAACAAAGGCATTGTCTACGTCGATGAAAACTGCTACGGTCCATCTGGACCATTCGCTGAAAGACCCGGTTGGCAGCAGATCGGGGATGCCGCATCCGGTGCTTCGTATGTGATGGGTCGGTCGTTGGGATTAGATGAAGGAACAAGTGTTCTTCCGCCCTTGCCGATCTCTGATATGACTACTGGCGTCGTCGGTGCTTTGGCGACAATGCTGGCTATTCGGGATAGGGCTCAGAAAGGTGGCTCGTATCACGTTATCAGCTCGCTTGTTGCAGGAGACGCGATCCTGGTGGACCCCGAAGTTGGCCTCTATCCCGCCGAAGTGGTAGAAAAAACCCTCAATACGTTCAAATTCGCGCGCTCGTCTCCGGACCAGTTCGTCTCCGAGATTATGATCCAGGTGATTGATGGATGGAAACGGGTTTTCCCGGAATACCTTGCACACGACTCTCCATTTATGATGAGCTTTGAAGATAGCCCCTGGGGGCGGATGGATATTTTGAGGCCCGTGGCCAGACTAGATGACAAGGACGCAAGTCCTATTTGGAAGAATGCCCCTGTTCCGAATTGCCATCATGATCAAAGCATCACCTGGCATGATCATGCTCCAGAGAAACTTTCTGGGTTGTCAGATTAGTATGTACAGTAGAACTCCATGAATTTTGTTCGACTTCACAACTCTCCAGTGCCATCAGCTAAAATCATATGTACCCAAATCGTATGCCGGAGGGACACCTGCTAGCATGTCTTGCCAGTTCCAGGACAGAGGAGCGGGTAAAGGTAGTGGCCCTGTGGTATAGAAACCCTGATCAGTAGACATTATGTTGCCACCATCATTTTCAGTCGGCTGGGTAGGATTGAAAACAGCCGGGAAAGAGTTTGGGGGCAAGTAGTCATTCTGTGCCCAAGTTTGCCTTTGCGGACGAATGGCAACTGGTTGGTTATCACCCACGGACTCTGGCTCAGGATTTCTGACCCGATGTAGCTCTTTCCTGGCTGCACTTTCGAAGTCCGAGCACAAGGCCAATACATAGTCCAAGTATGTATCTTGTTCTTGGGATGCGACCTTCGATATGAAATTTACAACCCCATGGATCATAGCAATATCTGATTCAGTGTCGGGACGCGAAGGATCATGGAGAATTTGGGAGAACAATGCAACCAAGGCTGCTCCCGGGAAGTAAACAATGCTCCTGTGCGATGCATTAGAGACTAGTAAAGGTGCGAGACATTGTGCACTTACCATACAAAGGATTGACCATAGCGGTCCCGAACTTGACTAATCAGTTCAATTGCGGCTCGTGCAGCTTCTATTGACTGTTGCACTGATATCTCCGGGTCATTCGACGTACCTGGGGCACTGAGCCCCTCATTCTGCGAGCTGGGCGGCCAGCGCCGAGGAAGTAGACAGACTCGGTGGATGTTGAGGTAGCAACAATGGTATGCAAAGTGAAGTCTGAGGATGTGCGGGAGGAAGGCATGGTGGCCGATGGAAAAGTTTCTTCGGGGCCGGAGACTCGGTGGGATGCTTCGTTTCCATACTTCAAGATCGCTAAAGCAACCCCTCACATCTTCCATCAAAATTTCTTTGGGTTTATTAAATGCCTCAGTGCTATAAAGCTCATCGCATACCTTCCGTTGGATCAAAGCAAATCGGGCTAGTGCCAAGAAGAGATTGATTTTGGCATTCCCAACCTCCATCAAACCTAAGCCATCCGGTGGGTTCTCCAGAGGCAGTAAAGTGTTGTAATCGCGAATATCTTGGGCAGCAGGGCGGCCGGTCCTCTGACAGATGTCAGCGTCCAAAATGAAGGCTATCCAGAAGACCCTTCTCCGCTCTTCAATCTGGGACTCCGGGAGACCAAAGGAGTTGGATTTGTGCAACCCTATAGACTGTGACAGACGTACAGCCGCAGCGGTAAACATGAACAGAGGTTGGGGGTTTGTGTGCCTTGGAAGAAAATTGCCAGTCCAAGAAGCGCCTGAACCGCGAGGAGATCGCAGGTTCGCATGAATAGCTCTGTGACTACATTCATCGCATTTTTGATATGACCCAGGCATTTCTGCCAGTCGTCGCTGTTATCACCGGGGCTCTCTGCCCTGCGCATGTATGCAAAAGCAAGGACAATGTTGAAAGCAGCCCACCAGGAGGGACTTTCGTTAGGATTCCATGAGAATTGTGTGCTGACCATTCCCATAAACCTTTCCGGCCCGAAGAGCGGTAAGGCCTTGTTAAAAGTGCCAAAATATTCTTGGACAAGATCTAGTATGACAGCCTTAGATGGCAAGGGTTGTGAGCATCTGCTTTGAAGATCGTCTTGAAGAGCTCGAGGGTACCAGTCGGCCAGCCTCCATCGACTGCTGTTTCTCTGAGCGGCATGGCGCCATACAATATTACCCGTCTTACTTTCAAGCCAGCCCACACCCTCAGGGGAAACGATCGAAAAATGAGAGGATGCACCTGGGCTCAGTCGGTAGCATCAGCAGCCATTCGTGCAACCCTTGAGCAATAATATTCAGTGAGCCAACACTCACCAAAAAAGCGCATTGCGCCTTTCGGAGTTTTGAGGGTATATGACCCTCCGTCACCATCGGCCTCGGCCTCGAAAGATGCTTGATCGGTATCATTTCTCGGAGATGGCAATTCCATATCGGATAATTCTGAGAGTTGGACGTGTTCTGTGCCTGTGTCTTCGTCACTTGGCAGTCGCCGTCTCTTGGATGCATGTGCTTCATTCAACTTGTCTTGTAGAGACTGAATGCGTTGTTCCAGCTCATGAATATTTTCCCTACTGTGCGTGAGTGAATATGCGTTAATTTCAAAGACCCAACAAGCCGAGTAAAACCTACCGGTTGTGCTTTTTGTTGCGTCGCACCGTGTCCTCGTACTTGCAGGGTAAGTCAAATGTTCTGCAAGGGACACAGACCGGCCGAGTCCCATCACATTTCACTTTCTTCCGTCTGCATATGCTGCATGCCTTTGTAGCGTATGCAGGTCAGCATCTGATTACAGTTGTTCCCTCGGTACATGAGGGGCCACGGGAACCAGCCATCTAGGGGCGAGTCGATACCTTGGCAAGGCGTACAGCATTGCTAGTGTTCCCATCCATGATACAAAATGATAGTAGTGTAACACCAAAATTGTTCCTTCAGGATTACAATCCCTGTGTGGCTCCAATCATCAGGGTTTAAAACTGTAGGTTGGGATAACATGGGGTTTCCCACTGAGATTCGGGCATTCAGGCATTCAGGCATTCAGGCGTTTAGGCATTGAGGCACCAGAGTGAGTCATCATTTCTGCCTCAGGCCCAAACATTATTCTCAATACATTGGACTTCCCCAACGTGGTCAGCTCCGAATCTCGGCCTGGGATTCCCGTATATTGCGTGACTGGACCTCTATCTCTGTGCGCCCACCGTAAGAAATCCATTAAGGAGGATTAATAGTCCGCCGAAGAAGTGGCCTAGAACATTCATTTTGGCATTCTGGAAGACATCCATATCAGAATCTAAATCGATCTGCATGGCGAGATAACGTCTTTTTGGAGCTGTGAATCTGGACCTCGCTTCCACCTAGCTCGTTCCCGATCCCTATCGGATACTTTAAATAGATCTAATTGAATATTGGTGCTATACCGTGGGTAAACTAGAGAACTAGAGTAAAGGTCATGATATCATCGTGCTAGATCACCATGTAGCGGCAAACAATCTCCTACCACCTGTAAGACTATACATAAAAGGATGTGAATCAGTTGACTCAAATTGGGTGATCCTGTTGACCTTGTACTCTCCTGATATAGGTTCGGTCAAGGTACTTTGATCTTTGTGTATCAGCCATAGTTCGAGCTCGTGAAATATTGCCATAGTTCGAACTTCTGTACTGAATTTTCTGATAGGATTAGCTATTGCAAGGAACTATTTATTCAAAGCCATGGCGATGCAACGAGATATAACTCTGTATAAAAACCCAATCTAGCCCCAGAAAATAGCCGCGAACCATAACTAAGCCTAAAATACATCGCCTATGGAACGATTGCTCACTGACCACCATGACTATTGGAATCTTGTCGCACGATTCAGCTGTGTCTTAGGCATCCGTTTGCGCTACCTTTGCTTGAACCGCGGTGAATGGCTGTGGTTTAGGTCATTGTCACACTAAAATTTGAACCACAGACTGCGACTCCCAGATCAAGGTTGCTCTCTCTTCAGGAATTATATCTAACGGCAATGTAACCTTAAAACAGAAGGGACTATTGTCGGCGGAGTCGAGGCATTCGTTGATCAATAAGAAAAGATGAATTCAAGGCGAAGACCAACTCATTGAATGTATTCGCCGAATTGGAGCTTGTCGCGATGTTGCCATTCATACTGTTTCAAACACCTCATTTTCTAGGAGAAATTGTGGTTGCAATATCAGACCATGAATGCAACGTGTGGCTAGATCATAGATCATATGCCCTTACCCGGTTGTTGGTGCGGTGCCTCCTAAGTCATATGAACTTGTCTGACAAGGCAAAAGACCACTGCAAAAATTCGAACTTCAGCAATTTGGGGTTCAGTAACTCCCACATATAAAAGCAACAGACCACCTCTTTCAAGTTGTCTTGTTCCCATCTGCAATAACCTTCAGCTCCATTGCCAGCTCCCTGCCATATAGTTAGCAAGTACAAGTGTGCCTCTAAAGCTCACAATGGTTCCCATCAGTATCCAATCCCTCCTCTGCATTATGGGAATTGCTTCCCTTGGCAAATCTGTTGCCGTTGAGACTGATACCATCCAAGGCTGGCAACTGACTCAATACTGTGAGTTGAGCTAAAGTGAACCTCCGCCATCTCAAGCTGGGCTGATGCGAAATCAGGTACCGAGTTTTATACTGTCAGTAACGGAGACACCTGCTGGGACATCATCGCGCGGAATCAGAATAAATTCACCATGAGCCAGCTTCTATGCTGGAATGACGACATCAACCCATGGTGTTCAAATCTGATTCCGGGCCGACAAGTATGTGTTGGAGTCCAACGTCCTGGGCCTACCTGCTAGATAATCAAGTTGATGACTGAATTAATGGCACTTTAATTTTTTTTTAAAAAAAACAACCAAATGCCTGATATCCCCAATGTCTACAATCCTTCAGTTTGTTTGATGGAAGTAATGAGAGGATGATTTTTGAGCTCTGAGCATTTTTTGCGCTGTCATTACAGATGGTCATTCATTTAGTCAAAATTGACACACTTGTTTGTATTGAGAAACTTATGCACTGTTTCTCTTCCAGGCATTTTGTAGGAATTGTCTCATCGTTGTTGGCTTCACATCTGGGAACCGGCAATTGAGCCGATCATCCGGCAATTGAAAGACATTGTTAACTGTGAGTCTGCTCACTAACGCAGTCATTTCTTTGGCTTCATCGGAAGAGTATTCCGTCCCCTCTGGCTGGGGAGGGACGGTGACATCACCAGTCTTAATTTGCTCCAGGCTATCGTATGTTACCTTAAATTTCTTGCCTATTTCGGAAATGGTTATTAGGTTCCGACTGCATCACAAATTAGGGCGTACGATATACCTACCGGTGAATTCTTCCGCCATGCCGAGAACCTGATTGTAGGTAACTTCATCCCCCACGATGACACTGAATTCAGGCCATTCATCAAGTTCAAGCGCTTTGGCGAGGTAGATAGCCATGTCGTATGTGTATGTCATACAGATCACGTTGTTCCCGTCTCCTGGGATCGCAGCTGTGCCGCTGAATATATCAACACCAAAGGTGAAGGGCTGCAGGTGAGTTTGGACATGTGGCATTCCCCAATAGTCCATAAAGAAACCAGGGATTATCCTGGTATATTGTAAACCACTGGCCTTGAGACGATCTGCTGCATCGAGCCAGTATTGAATGCTTGGATCGATCGGGAGTAACCTTGGAATGTCAAACATCAGCATGAAATAGCACACAGCTTAAGCTGGCCGACCTACTCGGCGGTTTGGACGAATGAGAATTCGCTGGGGATGAATCTCCTCGTCGATGCTGACGCCTCTGCAGCTTCAATCAAGTTCAGCTGAGACTGACTTGTCTCATCCGAAACAAGACCAATGGCTGAAACGATGGTGTGGATGCTGTGTCGCTCAAGCACTCGTGCCATTGAGGGAACGTCATCATAGTTGATCTGCACATTTTGAACATTCTGTAAAGCAAAGACCTGTTTCACCTGAGATAAAGGTCAGTTAATTGTTCACGTGGAACGAGTCCCTACTTGCGCACACTGCGAGACAAAACGACAACGTCAAATTTGGAGTCGAGCAATTTTTCGACAATCGTTTTACCCACTCCACCGGTTCCACCAGCCACAGCAATGACCGTCATTAGGGCTTGATTGAGAAGTTCTTAAAAGTCGAAATTGTCGAAATCGTTGAAGAAGTTGCTACGGCAGAGTTCCAAGGTTCGCCGCGACAACCCCACTAAGCAGATTTTCACGCATTCACTACTTCTCGTTCTAATTCGGCATCAACGATAGAGACTAAACTGTTAATCGATTTTTGACCCCTGATCGGTGTATTGCCAAACTCCAATCAAATCTCTCTACAAACCACAGATCGGGGACTCGGGCTTCAGACTTCGGCGACTTCAGGGCTTCCCCCGGGGCCCCGCAGCCACGGCTATGACTAATATCGGAGGAAAGAGAATATAAAAAGCCAAGTGTTTCGACATTTCCACGTTGGTAAACCTCTTAAAACGAATATCAAATCCCAAATCCAATCATGTGCATGAAGGCCATCTGCTCGACCTGCAGTGAGTTTCCACCCAGTGTGTCCACAGAATAGCAGCTAACGATTACAGACAAGGTCACCTGGTGGGGTTGTGGAAGCCATATTTCCTCAGTGTTGGATTCAATTCCCGAAGGCGAGTGGTGTTCCTGCACACCTCAAGTTGAGAAGGATGGGAAGAAATACCCTCCCAAGGCGGCTAGGGCCGGTTGACTACACGACTGTTTGATTTGTTAGTCCGAGGAAGTGAGTGGCGATGTTGTTGAGGGAACGCCAGGGAAAGCATTATCGAGAACTTGTTATTACCAAGGTCTCGTAAATCTATCTCAACAGAGTTCAAGGGGAGGGGAGTTGGTGGAGTTCTAGAAAAGCGTGTGAGATTTTATGTCTGTTGGGGATGTAGAACGAAAGTATAACGAAAGACAAGATCAAGAACAAAAGCCAAAATCAACACAAGCCAAAGCGTGTCTGATATGGAAGCCAAGGGAGCGAGGAACGACACAGAATCTAACCAACAAGAGAAGAAGTAAAAAGCGACTAACCAGTCAACTCCACGTAAAAAAAAAACACTTAAGTGCTCCCTTTCTTTCCCCCTTTTTCTTCCCTCTCTTCGTCGGTGTCTTCGCTCGTGCCGCTGGTAGCGGGATTGGAGGTGGCTGCACGGTTGCCGGGCTCATGGATTTTGTCTGTTCTAGGAATAACTAGGGTGGTTCTCCATCTCCCGGAGCTGCAGGAGTGGTAGCCACAAAGGGTGGCCCCCTTGGCACAAAGATGTCCGAGAGGGCTGGCAGCTGCCTGAGCTCCTTCTTATGATCACAAACATAGAAAAGTCCCTGTCAATCTGGGCATGTTGCAGTGTAGAGTGCAAAACGCAGGAAAGGCCCTAAAAGAAACATTCCAAAGTGGTTTCACGACCGAGATTGGATTACACAGGCCTGTATTTTCATCCAGTGAGATATAGGCTGATGGTTGCTGTCAGTCACCCGGACGCCAACCTCCACAACCTTGTGACATCATGTGGACCCGGGGATATCCATGATATGATAGCCATGAACTGGAACGGGGATCTCTAACGACTCCAGCTGGTCGATATAGCATTGAGGTATCGCCATGATATCGGCGCCAGTATCATGGCACATGTAAAGAGTGAGGCCATTGGCGCTAGGTTGTCGGCTATCAGCTGATACATGCACAGGGAACTATGTAGAAGGAAAAAGATGAAAGTTAGAAGAAGTGATAAACTAGGAGGTCAATAGTAATGGCTCAAGGAGAGTGAAATCGCTCAAGCTCGCTAGAGGCCTACAAACACCAAGCCAGAAGTGACGAATCCGGCATCCTGGGGTATTCATTGATTGCAGCAGAGAGTACAACTTCTTTGTCCTGACATAAGGCTAAATTTGAGATGTCATTGGTATGAAAAAGCCGACGACAAAGAAGCTAGAAGCCGGGTTTGATGTCAGTCAGGAGACCACTTGTACGTTCGAAGGTAACATCCATGCGGAGGCTGGTCAACGAGCTTCAGCAGAGTGCTCCGTAGTGCTAATGAGTAAGAAATAAGATGGGACCCAAGGTGGAAAGCGTGCTCGATGGCTTCTTTCATGCTAGAGGAAGGCTGATAAAGTGAATTGGCTTTGAGACCTGGCCATGCCCCGGAGGTGCGAACTTGCCTAGCCTCAAAAGTTTTCGGCACGATGCTCTGAAAGATCAGGCCGTCTCTTTTTAATCTGTTTCTTCATCAGCGAGGTAAACTTAGAAAGATTGCATAACAATGAGTCTTCTCCAATCGACTACTACCAACAATGTATCGGATACTTCCTACAGAATACAAAGATTTATAAACACCTCCAACACCAGAACTAAGAACTAATCCATAAGCCGTCAATTTCTAACCAGTGTGCACCTTGATTCTTTCTCGATCATTTCCATACGTGAATATCATGTAGATCAATCACAAAAAAGCGCAGAAACGGGGCAATTTTTCCGACCTAAAAAACAAGGAACGGTCGTACTAACACGAAGGGGATGACAGGAGTAAAAAGGGAAACTATGAAGAAAGGGGGGAAATAAAAGAGAAAGAACATGCCATTACATCAGAGTCTAAGCCTTGATCGCTGCACCCAATGCACCACCACCGAACTGCTGGCCACCAGGTCGGCGGTCGCCCTGGGGAATGCGTGCACCGCCACGACCACCGCCACGACCACGACCACCGCGGCCGCCACGGGCACCAGGACCGTGTTCGCGCTGGAAGGCATTGGCCATACCCTGGGTGCGCTGCTCGAGGGTCTTCTCGTTGGACTCGAGAAGGGTGGTGGACTTGTCGGCCAGGGTGACAATCTGGGACTGGAGACGGGAGAGCTCGACGCCCTTGCGGAAGATGATGGCGTCGTTGACCTGGTCGAGAGCAGCGGCGAGCTCTTCGTGCGAGATCATGCGGGAGATAATGGAGATGATCTTCTTGGGCTCGAGTTCGAACATGGTGGCCAGAGAAGAGATGGAGAGGCTGTCGTAGTAGGGGGCGTAGGTGAAGAGGTAGGTGCGCAGACCCTCCTCTTGGGTCTGGCGGGACAGCATGGCCTTGATCAACTCAGGCTGGGGCATAAGATCCCAGATCTTGATCGCGGCAAATGTAGAGGCGGAAAGCTTCCAGTCACCAGCGGCAAGAGCCTTGGCTCCGGCAATAACACCATCGCGGGTGTTCTCCGGGGGACCGGTGAAGACCTGGCGCTCATTGTAGTCCAACATGCGGCGGAAAGTCTTGGAGATCATGCGGCGGCGGAGCTCGGGGGTGGAGGAGGTCTGGGCCATCAAAGGCACCTCAAGCAAAGCACTGCTGGTGAGGTAAACGCACTCTAGCAACTCGAGGTTGATGTGCATGTGGAAGGGCAGCTGGCGCTGGCGTTCCAGACGCTCCTGCTCGGGCGAAACAGTGGAGTAACGCTGCATGATGATACCCTGGGCAAGAAGCTCCTTTTGGCGGCCGCTGCCACAGATCTCACCTAAAGTGTTCTGGGCCTCGTAAATGAGGCCAGCGCGGAAGGCACAGAGACCAATCTGAACAAGGGTGCGGTTGAAGAGGATCTGGGTGCTGACGTCGAAAGTGGCGATGTTTTCGGTCAGGTGGGACATGAGCATCAAGTCACGAGACTTGTAGTATTGGTCGTGCAGAGCAAGGAAGTAAATTTGGCAGAGCATTGCGCGAGCGCGGGGAATGCCATCGCTGTGTTCAAACATGTAGTTGCAAATAGAAGCCACGAGGCTCTGGATATCCCCAGACTTATAAG